GTAGTAGTGGTAGTAGTGGTAGTAGTGGTAGTAGTAGTGGTAGTAGTGGTAGTAGTGGTAGTAGTAGTGGTAGTAGTGGTAGTAGTGGTAGTAGTAGCAGTAGTTGTGGTAGTTGTAGTAGTAGTAGTAGTAGTAGTAGTAGTAGTAGTAGCACTAGGAGCAGTAGTACGAGCAGTAGTAGCAGCAGTAGCAGCAGCAGTAGCAGCAGTAGCAGCAGTAGCAGTAGCAGCAGTAGCAGTAGCAGCAGTAGTCACAGTAGTAGTAGTAGTAGTAGTAGTAGTAGTAGTAGTAGTAAAGAGGTGCAAAGTTGCAAAGAAAAGCACAACTTGACATTGTTAACAATAAAGAAACCAACATCAGAGCTCTCAAATGTCATTCAGAATATCATCATCGGCCAAGTTCGAGCTTTTGCAAGTCGAATGATTTCGTGAATGTTCACTTCGATTTGGGAAAAAATCCTTACGTGACCTTCACTGTTGATCGTCACCAACCTTCTTTAATTAAATTTTTTTCTTTTTATTCTATATCCCATCATAAATGCCGCGATTGCTTTGTGCGTAGGTCCCTCCTCCCCGCCCCCACCCGCCCGACCACGCCGTCAGAGTCACACAACCACCCCACACCGCACCAACAGCCTGGCCCCCGCCCCATGCGCCCACTGCCACACTGCCACCCCATGCACCCGCCTCAACGCCCCCAACCCACGCACCCGCACCACACACTCCAGCCGCACACACCCCCACACGCACCCACACACACCCGCACCCACCTGCACCCCCACCCACATCCACATGCACACCTGCACACACACCCATGCACATAATCATCTGTTGTATACTATATCCCATCAAGCTCATCACATGATGAGACAGATATAGAAAAGAATGACTAACAAAACGGACTAACCAACAACCATGATCCATGGGAAACATGCAGAGCCAAATGATGTTCTGCAGAGGGCACCAACCTGGATGGTGGGCATTTTCTGACATTTGTCGTCATTGTGTGTCAACGTCCGTAGGCAACAAGAGGACACAAAGAAACAGAATCCATTGAGTCAGATGGTTGAGTCCTTTTCACATAATTCACCTTGCCCACATAAAATGCATTGGGACATCCATAAGAGGCGATGGGGAACATGCATTATTCACAGATGTGTCTAGTACCGCATACATGTTTAATGGTTAAGCATCACACACACACACACACACACACACACACACACACACACACACACACACAGAGTGGCGAGCGTGCGAGGGGCTGCCCTAACCTTAGATTCCAGAGGTGAAGATAAAATTTGACCTCAGATTAGGGTGGAGGAGATGGAAAGAAGAAAAGGATTGCTGTAAGAAGGAGAGAGGAGAGGGTGGAAGGTACTCTCAGATGAGGAGGAAATCTGGAAGGACAAGGGGTGACCAAGAATACTACTTCACATGGCACGCAAGTTACTTCAGCGGGAGCGGTACTAGATGTGGTTTCTACTTGGACTTGTATCATCTTTGCAGGATGTAGTGGTGGCATGTGTGGAGGACCGACTACTTAGTACACTATGGAGTCAGGACAGTCCTTTTCGAAGGGGGGGCGGAGGGGAGGAGGGGAGGAGGGAGGGCGTGGAGGTAATGCAGATTGGCCTGAGGGATGTGAGTAAGATATGCCCTGAGACTCTGAGAGTGAGTCTAGTGGTCTAAGTAAGTGCCTGCGTGGAGAATGGTCGCCCCTGATTGTGCGGCTGCATGGGTGCCTGGTGATCATTCTTTGTTTGGTTTTCTGCTGCCTAGCTAAAAGTCTCTACTTTCTCAAGTTGTCAATCTCAACTAACTCACCCTGCTTTCTAAATTCTAAATCAAGTTGCACCACAGGAGGGACCTTTTGACTCGTTGTCCTGATGCATGGATGCTCTTTGGTGTACTTCACAGGAGGGCTGACTTTTCATAGGCTCTGGTGGATCCCCCTGGGGTTGAGGACCTGGGAGGGGAGAAGCTGAGCTTCCTTGATGCCTAACATCACACCAGATCCTTCACAAGGGACACAACCGCTGGGGGGCCTGTATAATCGACTCAGCACCCCAAGTGAGTGGCAACCTTCTCGAGGGGTAGGTGGACGACTTGGGTGTGAGGGGTGAAGTCTCCCAGTGCTCCCACCAACCGGTGATATGGAACCTCCGAAGGGGTGAAGGCAAGTGCGGATGGGTCAGGCAGGGGTGGCATCTTGGATACTGCCTGAGCTTTCGAGGAAACATCAACGATTGATCAGTGCTTTACCTCAGTCATCTGCCTACTTTCTCTTCTCGCCACTCTGATTTTTCTGACGCCCTGACGTGATGTACCCGCTGGAATTTGCCTTTGTCCAAGTTTGTAGGATTACCTTTGAGGCTTTTGACCCCTTGTGTGCACGGGACAGCCCCCTGGTCGCAAACTTCTGTCGGGCAGGGAACGTCATGGGTTCGGCCTACACTTGGGCTGCAGGTTCGGGAACAGGTGCAGCAACTGGCTCAAAACCATATCCTGAAACTAGATTGACAGCAATCTATTGTCCTCCCGCCAATGTAGAGAAAACTCACAAGCTCTCTATGCCCCAGCTCGTGTTTCCCTTCAATAGAAAACATTCCCTCACAGAATGACCCCTTTTTTTCGCAGTGTAGGCAGACCTCTTTGTCCATGCACTTGTGTCACGTCTCTTCTGAGATCTTGAGGACTCACCGCCTACGACTGCCTTAGGCTGTGAGAAAATAAAAATACCAGTCCCGGTCTGTCGTAGGTATTGAGGAAATAAAGTACACAGAGGTAGGGTGCCTGTCCTAGGTGGTGAGGAAATCAAATAATCGGGGTTAGGTGAGGAAATCAACCCCGAAATCGGGGTTAGGTGAGGAAATCAAATAATCGGGGTTAGGTGAGGAAA